GAATCCTAGAGTCTAATCTTTAAACTTTTTTATTGGCGCTGTTCAGGTACTGCTGTGGGTTTAGTGATTTATACTGGGTCCGAGACAAGAAGCGTGATGAATACCTCAAACCCCGCGACAAAGGTAGGTTAGGCGCGATATGGAAATTTGTTTGTGCAGTAATTTGAAGCTGGGATTAATAGTCATTATTGGATGTTTGAGAGGATTCCTAGGGTTTGACCTGGAATTTGATAATTTTTAAAGGTACTGCTTTTTTTTTCCCTTTCAGGTTGGGCTTATTGATAAGGAAGTAAATAATCTGACCAAACTGTTGTTTGTGGCTACTGTCAGCCTTTCCTTCGTCATGGTATCAGTTAAGGTACTATTAAAACTGAAAAACTACACGAAATTTTACACTCACTTATAAAACGTATTTTTGATCTCTTTTATTTATCGAATAAGTCAGAAAAGAACTCAATAACCTGCACTCGACCTACCCCAGTCAATGGTCAGATTTCGTTGAAGTCTGAGACGTTTAACATAATGAATACAGCCAATACAATGATACAGGCGATGTTAACTAACGGCTTTGTTTTCTCGAATAGGGCTACAATGGACCTTGGTATCGCTATTTCTTGCGTTTCATCTTGTTGTTTTCCTACATAATTCCGTTAAGGTAAGTCAACTTGGTATCGTCCTTTCCTATCAGGATCTCGACTGATCACGTGAAATCAAACGCAAAATACTCAAATCCTGCAACGGTGCATGGAAATATTATAAGGAGCCAATCAAAACTTGGGATAAATACACGTGACCAGCCTCTAACAAAGAAAAGTGTGTATAGTCATGTTGTAGTTGTTTTTTGTGAGCGTCAGATTAGTTGAGTGAATGGCAAAGTATTCTACAGAGCCAATCGCAAAGCGCTAAAGAGAAGCAAAGCCAGTGCATTCCGGGATAATTTCCTATACTCCAGTTGATAACTGCTTCGTCATCAAAAGAGGTCGCTGATATGAAGTCCTTCATACAAAAACTTTCTATCCATGGCTTTTCGCGTAACTAAGTTACTTTTCCCTTTTTTCTATCTCGTAGTCTCCGTGTCAGTCTGGACTTGGGTAAAGTTGTATACTCGTGGATGATGATGCACGACAAAGACATCCCCGGGACAGTCGTGCGTAGCAGCACTATCCCAGAGGAACTGGGGCGAATAGGCTATCTATTGTCTGATAAGACAGGAACGCTGACTGAAAATGAAATGGTACTGTTATCTTTTATGCTACTTTATTTCGGTTTTTTTTTTTTTTTTTTTAATTACAGTGATGTAAAGGTTAGCGGACAGGACTCAGGAATAAATCGACCCCTGGTCGGCTCATTTTGTTGTGGCTTTAGGCGAGACACGTTCATCTCACATTGTATCATAAAGTCTCGGCTTTGTTTTTCAATCTGATCGAAGAGGGCTAGTAAAAGCGTAAATAGCATGCGTTGCCGGTTGTGCAAACGAAATGGTGCCTTTGAGAAATATATCCCTCGCTAAGCACTCGAATCAGTTTTCCCCTTTCGCTCCACTTTTGCACGCTGGCCGCGCAGAAGAAAACATAAAACTGATGATCATTTGTTCCAATGAATTTACAAGCTTACTGAATATTTTAATTCATTTAACAGGTTTTCAAACGTCTTCACTTGGGAACAGTATCGTTTGGCACAGATTCTATGGAAGAGGTACACTGAACTCGATTAACTGTCCTAGGGAAGACTGACACTAAATCGTACTGATGACATATGCTGTGTTGCAGGTTACAAGCCATGTGAAGACTTCTTATGCACGCAGTAGTGGACCCACGTCCAAAAAACCTGTGCAAGGAGCGAAGGTTTGTTCTATTGCCCTTCCTAGCAAATGTATTCCATTTGTTCTCGGGTCTGATCAGCTCTACATTAAAAATAAATGAAAAGAAGGTTACAACAAAAAAGTAATACTGGTTTTTAACAATGGAAGCGCGTAATTGGAAGTACTTTTTAAAGCCCAAGGCCAAAAATAGTCAGCTACCTGCTTCTGGTGATATTTTCTTCTCCGATTCACATCTAACGTGTATCTACGGTAAGTTATATGTGTTCATTCCTCTGCACCTTAATATCAACAACATATTTAGCTTGAACGTGTTTCTTCGGAAGCGAAAACCTACAGCAGCTAAACGTCAATATCCTCTTAAATTCTGATCTGAATTCCTGGTTCATGGCACCGTATATGACAGGGTTAATGCAGGACGAGAGTCCTACAGACACGGTGTAAATCAGATAAACGTATCTCGGAAAATAGAATTGTCCCTTGAAAGCTCCTACGGTGTCTATGATTACAAATGGCGTCCAACAAGCAGCGAAGCTCAGCAAAATGACGAAAAGAAGTTTAGCTAGTTTCACCTCGTTCACGCCGAACTTTCTAGCTCCTGGAGCACTCATTCGTCTCAACAGTTTTCCCCATATGCTATTATGCTGTCTTACTGTGCGGAAAACCTTGTAATAGCATACTGCGGTCACCCCAAATGGAAGCACCGAGAAGCCGATAATAGTCGTGACGGCGTAATAAATGTTAAGGTCGTCCAGGTCATAAAAACAAAACGCTTTTCCAGGGAGAAATACGAATCGGTGTCCAGTTGCAAGGTAAGGGATAGGCGTTATGATAGCCAGTGCCCACGCTGCAACGATACTTCGCAAAGCATTTTTAGAGCTGAAGTATTTCGGATAATCTGTTACTCGAACAATTCTAACGTATCGGTTGACGGCTGTGAGTGTGATTGTCAGCAGCGACGCGACACCAAGCACAGAGCCAGTATAGCCATGATATTGACAGATGGCTTCCCCAAATACCAAGTCCCCCGCTATCAACGTGACCAAGGTCAGCGGCATTTTCAGTGACATCAGCATGTCTGCGATCGAGAGTGAGGCAATGTAATAGTTTGGTACCGTTCGCAGTTTCGAGTTTTTTATGATTGCCAAGAAAACCATAAAGTTTCCAAAGAAAGCCACAAGGATGAGAACTGCGTAGATAGAACATTCGGCTATCTTTAGGGAAAGTTCTCGGCTAGAGAGCTCCATGGCCAGAATTTGTTCCCTCGATGTAGAATTGATTGCCATGCTTTATAACTGACTGGAAATGATGAAATGATCCCAGCCGATGACCTGACTGCTCCGTTGTTTGGAGCTCTGAGTTTTCGTAGGCGATTTCCTCGTCTCTCTGCTCAGTATGTAGCAAGGATACCTGTTGGTAACAAAAAGAAAAGTAGAGAATTCCGAATTCTCTACATTTGGCCCTATTTTGGTTATCGCTCGACTTTGAGCCAAGTTTTGTGCGGTGTGAATTTCAGAGAAACGTATTGCATAAGAATGGAGGTATTCAGTACTTGATTTCAGAGTAATCTACTGGAATCTGTTACACGACGAGCCAAAACAATTTTGTTATCTGTTAATTCGCCAAAGCGAGGGATCACTTCCCAAATTGCCATCAAATAAGTATGACATTCGAGTAAATCAATTTTCGAGGTTAATGCAAAGCGAAAGACTACTTATAAACTAAATAAATTACGGACAATAACTTTATCTACAAATAGGGCAAGTTGAATTCTCAAAAATATTTTTAACGTATATTTCTTAGCTAAATTTGTGAAACCTACCTTACGTAATCAGAAGTAGAAGAATCCTGTTGTCGAGAGATGATGTTGCTATAACCTCACATGACTTGTGATGTAGGAAATATATCATTTGATTGTTATGCACGAGTGAATCTACACAGATATTATTTTAGTCGTTCACTATTTATAATTCAACGCGAACACAATTTATATTGAGATGTGAAATGAATATCTTTGTCCATCGCGTGAGACTGAATTATAAATTTGCGACCGAATGATATCTTTCTGTCTTACATAATAAAGGTTCTTACAATTTACGTTTTTAGCCCTTTTTTTGAACGCGAATGGCGTTTTTCTTATTATCAACCTTTTTACCTGTTGAAAGAAGCAATATCTGAACGAGATCATGCGGTGCAGTAATCTGTAAGCTCTCCTTTTGTTCAGTTATAGAAACTATTCAAAACTAAACAAAGGCATTCATCTTCTAGGTGGTCTGCCGACAGATCAAAGACCTTAACGACGATTTACAACATATTTTATATGACATTGATTAAAAATATTGAATGCCATTCATTGCTATTGTGAGAAATATAGATATATATATATATATATATATATATATATAGAAAGAAATATGGAGTGATGTATCCATCTCTTAAAATGAAAACTTTCGTTTAAGTCTTTTTTATTTCCTTGGTAGTTGTATATTCTGTGTTTTTGAAATCGAAAAAAGAAGGAACGACAAAAAGGGTTGGTTTAGTTTCAAAAAAAAACTGTTAATAATTTTTATCTTCCTGTAAAAGAAGAGAAAATTTTGAAGAATTTAAGGTATTGAACATCTCTTTAGAATGTAACCACACACTGCAAAGATGCGACAGGACAACGGAAGTTCACAACACTAACTGGTCATCACTCTGTCTGTTCTCAGCCGTTACGCTTCTCTCGTGGCATCTACGCTAAGAGAAATATAGTACTATCTGGCATTTAGGTTTGGAATACTTTTGCGAAGATTTCTGACCTAAAAGAGACGTTTTTGTCTTTTCTGAGACAGTAATGCCACTACATCTTGTCTAGCGCCATAAAAGAGATTGCGCCCCAGTTCCCTCTCGGATGATAAGTATATTGGTCGATTCAGAAACAGTTTCATCGTTTCAGAGAGTTGTTTTGCCTCCTCGGTGATACTCCACTATTATAAGGGAACGATGATAGGTAACTCTGTGGTCACCAATGCACTGCATGCGTGTGATTTATTACGAAACCACTGTAATTATAAGAATTTGAGTAGTTACTCTCCCTTACAGTTGACATACTAATTTTCTCGCAAGGTAATAAAGATAATTTTGTGCTATATCGTTTAAAAATTCCTAAGCTGATATTTTAAGCAGGAGGTTCAAAGTTCCAAGGAGGACCAGAGAAATTAGATGAGATTATGGCACTATTGAGGCCTCTTATCGGATTACTTTCCAGCAAATGAAGTTTTCGACAAAAATTAATACGGTGAAGAGTTTCAATTCTAGTGTTCCAAATTTGTCTGATGTTTTGAACAGCAGCTTTCCACCGAGTCTTGAGAGAAAACTAGGAGTGCATTGATTTTACTTCATAACTCCGTGAGAGTTTTCT